TTTCCTCTCCTCCCCTCCCCCCAACATCCTTTTTCCTTCTCCCTTCCCCTTTATTTAGTAAAAAAAAAAAGTACGTATTTGCGAAAGATTGGTACAACTGAGAAACTTCAAGCAAAACTGACATAAAAAAGAGTATTCCCATAAAGCACTAACAGAGAAATGGCAGGAGAGATCAGTGGTCATCCTACAAAGACTGAAAAGGCTAAGGAAATACTGTGCAGTGAATGACCATAAGTTCGGCTACTTGTATAAAAAAGACAATTCATTAGAAAACAAAAATAATTGCAACTGCCCAGTATGAAATAGATAAGCTGAACAGTTCAATTCCTACTAAGGAAAATGGAATTTATAACTTGACATTTTCTTTTTTTATAGTTGCATACATTTTTTTAAAAACCTGTTTTTTTAAAGATTTATTTTACTTTTGTTTTAAATGGCAGGGTTAGAGAGTGGAGGGAGAAAGAGGTTTAATCTGCTGGTTCATTGCCCAAATGAGCACAACAGCCAGAGCTGAGCTGATCCAATGCTAGGAACCTCTACAGGTCTCCCACAAGGGTGCAGGGACGTGAGGACTTGGCCCATCCTCTGCTACTTTCCCAGGCTCTAAGCAGGGAACTGGATCAGTTTGCCAGAACTCAAACTGATGCCTATTCGGGATGCCAGTGTCTCAGGCAGAAGCTTAGCTTATTATGCCATGGTGGCCGGCCCCATAATTTAGCATTTTCTAAGAGAAATCTCCAGATTTAGATGAAAAAACAAAACCTTATGTTTATAGGAAAAAAAATTCCAAACAATTTCTTTCCATGCATAATATAAAAGGCAATAGCTCTTATTTTTTAGAATTTTCTTTATTTATTTTTGCTTAAAAATCAAAGGCAGAGAAAGATCCTCCATCCTATGATTTGTTCCCTTAAATGCTCACAACAGCCAGGACTGATCTTGTAAGAGCCCAGATCTTGGAATTCCATCTCAGCCTCCCAAGTACCTGAGCCATTCCTGAAGCTTCCCAGAGTCCTCTTAGCAGGAGACCAGTTGAGAAGCAGAAGCAGTACTCAAACCCAGGGACTCCGGGAGGAATATAACCCAAAAAGCAACATACCCACAATGCCAAACACCCAACCAACAAATTCATTTTAAGCTGACATTACCATGAACTCAAAGTCAAATCCAGCACGGAAGAGGAAATCTGTGCATGCATTTCCTGCATAAATATAGGTGAAAATCCTTTATTAGCAAATGTATTATACATTTCAATCATGTAGGGTTTATTTCAGGGGTGCAAGGCTGATTTGACATTCATTCATGCTTTTTAAAAAACTCTCAGAAAATTAGGAATGAAGGGAGAACTTCCTTAATTCAACAAAGAACATTTACAAAAAACAAAACAAACAAACCAAAAAAACCTTCCCATGAAGATTCATGATAAGGGCTTGAAGACAGTATTTGTTCTTGCCACTGTAATTTACCGCAGTTGAAAAGTCCTAGCCAGTACACCAGGCAAGAAGGAGAAGTTAAAAGTCACACAGCTCAAAGAACCAGAAATAAAACTGTCCCTATTTGTAGATGGCATGATTGTGTTAAAATCCCCCCAAATTTTAAAAAGAAGCAACAAACGTAGAGACACACCTTGTTAGAGACCAGTGTCATGCTCTGAGGCTTAGGCCAGTGCTTAAACCGCAGCATGGCAGAGCCGAGCAGCTTTCCGTACCTGCTGCTTTGTTTCCCATCCAGCTCCCCATTAATGTGTCTCAGAAGGCAGCAGAAAATAGCCCTGGTATTTACAGCCATTTGGGGAGTGCACCAGCAGTCAGCAAATCTCCCTCCCTTCCTCCCTGTCACTTTGCTTTTCCAATAAAAAGGGTGAGGGGGATGTGGGATCTCTCTGCATTATTTACAAATATGGGTGAGGCTACAGTGATCTCAAAGTAAGAAGTAAAAAAAACCATGTTGGAAACAGAATACAATATGCACAACAACCACAACCAGGTAACAGTACCATTCAAGACCTAAAAGGCTAAACAAACTGCAAGTAACTGCATTTGGAGAATGACGGAGAATGTTTTTCTCAAATGTAAAACTGTAATTATGTCTCTGTCTTCATTGCTTTGTCTAAGGCACTTGAGGGATGCATTGCGCTGAATGGATCAATATGTCTTATCGTCAAGTATAAATGCCAGGTTTACTTTTTATTGCAAGAGTAAAAACAACTACAGTCGACTTAACTTACCCATCAATGACTCATATAAAATCTCTAAGCCTCAGTTTCACTGGAAGATGAATAACATCTCTTATCTGCCTCATAGTGTTGTTAAATGAGGCTCAAAATGGCGAGGTACTTCCCCTCTGCAAATCCATTATCAGTCTAATGTAGGATGCAATTGCAAAGGAGTCCCTGTCTTAGATATTCAGTGCAGGCAATTCTGTGGATTAAGTTTGACTGAAGCAAGGGATTGATTAAATTTATCTATTGACATGGGCTGAATTTTTATCTCCTCCCCAACTCGGAGATTGAAATTCTGTCTTGCAACTGTAGTCGCGTAGGTCTTCATAGAGGCCATGAAGGTAAAAACGAAGTCATAATGCTGTTATAGAAGGAGAGCAGGACATGAGCACATACTGAGCAAAGACCACGTGAAGACACGAGAAAATGGCTCTCCTCAAGCTAAGGGGATCACTCAGAAGAAACAAAGCCCAACTGTATCCCGATCTTGTAGTCCCCAGAACCGTGAGAGAATAAACATCTGCTGTCTAAGCCACACAGTCTGTGATACATTAGAACAGCCCTAAAAATACATTTGCCTTGAATTTCCCCATCAGAAAATGTTTAAGTTTCCTTGTTAGCTAGAGATGCCCACAATGGATCCTACTACGGGATGCAGCCTGAATGTGAGACCAAACCCACTTGCTTACTGTTTGGTGCCTGTCACTTCCTCACTGTGTTAAAGGGAAACAAACTTCTGTCTCTGGAATTCAGGTTCTTCTTAAAGTTTTACCCTGCCTCACAGAGTGAATTAACGATCTCAAAGATATATTAAATGCAATACAGGAACTGACACTATCAGGCACTATATATATTCTCTTCATTCCCTTATCTTTCTTTTTTAAAGATGTATTTATTTATTTGAAGGTCAGAGATATAGAGAGGAAGGGAAAGAGAGAGGAAGAGCTTCCACCCACAAGTTCACTCCATAGATGGACAACACGGCCAGGGTTGGGCCAGAATCTAAAACCAGGTCTCCAACCAGAGTGACAGGGTCCTCAACACTTGGACCATCCTCTGCTGTTACTTCAGGTCCATTAGCAGGAAGCTGGATTGGAAGTGGAGTAGCTGGGAACAAACCAGCACCCATATAGGCCACTAGGCCACAATGCTGCACTCCCCTTATCTTAAAGACTGTGTGTCCCCAAGCAGACACCATCTGCACTTGTAGAGTCCTTGTTACTCTCACCTAGCTCTATATTTTTCATTTAATCTTTAATTTTACTCATCTCCAGCTAAATAGGAAAGGTAAATATGATCTTGTTTTCTTAGAGGAAGAAACACAAATGATTTGGACAAAATACAAAGCTAAATAAATGGAAGAGACTTTCTGACTTCCCTATGAATCAGGAAGATGGAACTTGTGCCTATGCCTTGAGGTTACCCCCATGTAGTATGAGAGTATCTGTTACTGGAAGCAAAAAGAATGGCTGATTTTTGCAAAATGCTGATGAACCAGTAAAAACTGCAAAGTATTTATTCTTTGCCTTATTATTTCCAGTTTGAAGAACAGTTCCAGGGACAGCCAAAGGAGAAAAGGTAATTTGTGCAATGGGTTTACCATTGCTTCCATGTAGAGAATGACAAGTTGAGAATAACAACTCAAGCACCACCTCCTCCCCAGCATGTGCACCACCCCCTTTCGAAATGACAGAAATTAGTATGCTGGACTCTGCTAGCACTACAAATAATGTCAAATAGATAAATGACTTCAGCACATGGAAATGTCCTTGAAAAAAAACAGCAAATGACGCGAAACGACGACACACAATTGTATCTAACAAGTGGCTGGATCCATCCAAATGTCAACCCCATAGCTGATGGACTCATGGTGAACCCAGAGCCATGCAAAGAAGCAGTTGTGTTCATTAGATTCTTGAGTCAGTAAGGTTCCTGGAGCTTAAAGACATAAAGGCAAAGCCCCCTTCTCACGACAAGGGAAGAGGCTCAGCCTCTGTTATAACCACTTCTTCACGGAGATCCCTGGCCACATCTTAAGCAGTAAATGAACCAACTTTGACATAAGCAGAACGTGGGTAGAGGTGAGGTGCCAACCCTTTCCCTAAGCAACAGCTTTAGGAACCCAACCTCTCCCTGCCAGGTTTCTGGCCCCAAGATCCAGCAGGCCCTTCACTGGGTCCCTGAGCTTAACATTCTACACTAATTCTCCCTAAAATGCTCATGTCACACAGCACTCACACTCCTCCAAAAATATTGGAGTGAAGAAATTTAAACAGAATGGCTTTCTGTCTAAGTAAAAGCTTTTCCAGGTAGTTTCTCTTCTTGCATAGAAAGAATGGGACGTGAAGGATCTGAATTCTAAGACTGAATTTTGTTCTGAACCAAATTTGTTAAGTCTCAATTTCTCTATCTGCAGAATGAAAGACATTGTCATTAGCCCACTGGGGGTGCCTGGTTCTGTAAAAACACTGGGCACAAGGAAACAGGACTTCCTCATGCTGTCCTCATGATGCCTCACCCAGTTTCCAGAATTGAGCCCCTCAGTTGATCTTTCCTCGGGTTATATTTTTGATTCCCTGAAGTGAGAAAGCCTCGTGAGAATGAATGCATTACCTTACCAGAGTCTTGTCCCTGATGTTCTAAAAGTCCTACACAAAGGGATGAAAATCCTAAGATAAAGAAAAAAAAATAGACACACACCCTGTGTTTCCCAGCACATGTTCAGCATGTACCATGCCTGGTGACTGGCAAGCAGCTCACCCTCCACCAATTTTCTTACCCAAAACAGCATGGTCTTGGTCACATCACAGGTGAACCTGGACCAAATGAGGAAGGACAGGTTCTAGGCCCAGGTCCTAGTCTTGCACAGGTCACCAGTAAAGCTGAGCAGCAACATCACAAGAGACACTTGTAGTGGGTATCCCCGCCCTCCATCAGGTGCCATACACACACATCCATGCAAGCTCATTCTTCCCAGATACAACACTCATGCTATTCTCTGCTTTCTGCAAGCAGTCACGGCCGTCAGCCACCCACCCAGGTAATGTGGTGTGGCAACAGCATTTTCAATAGAAAAGTACCAGAGACAGATATGGTGAACTTGTCCATTTTTTAGCAACCAAGCACAGCATTTATAAGGCGGGGCCAGGGGAAATAAGCCTCAGGGTAGTAACAATATTTCTATTAGCTATAAGCATCTATCACATATTGTAAGTCCAGCCAATCAGTACAGCTATCACATACTTTGCCAGGTGTCACTATGTAGCCCACCACAACTTATATAACTCACCTGCATCCTGGAGTTGTTTATTACAAGACTGTAACAAGTTCACCACAAGATGGGTATGTGTTGGGGTAGGCAGGGGGAGAAGGTGACCAATTTACTGGAAAGTACCCAAATTGCCAGAAGAGGTTGAGGGGGAGGGAAATACCCAGAGGGCTCTGGGCTTCTTGCCAACTTCGTGAGTCTACAGGGGTCTCAAGATGCCATTGAGACAGGAGAAGGATCTCAAGGCATATGACAAAACCAAGGGGGCAGTTGCAAGTCTCTAGACATGCACCGAAACCAAGTTCTAGCTGCCCCTCGCATAGGTTAAGTAAGCTGAGACCCATCCTGGCACTCACTCATTCATGGCTTTCTAGGAACCTTCTCCTCTGCCCTATTTCTGAAAGAACTCCTCCCTAAGGACTTCTGTGTACCCTGCCGCTCTCCAAGGTCAGCCTCTCCCATCTTATCCCATCTACTCAGTAAGCCAGTGGGCTCCACCTCATGGGCCTCTTCTCCACTCCTGCTATGCTCACTTCCGCCCTCCAGCTGTGATTCTTGCCATTGCTCCTCCCTGGCCCAAACTTGCCTGTTTCTCCCTGCACATTCCCCAGATGGCTGCCAACTCTCCTTGCTCCCAACCCTCCTGGTCACAAAGCCCATGACTCCCTGTGTCACTGAACAGTTGACCTCTAACCTAGCCCTTTACCACCACCTCCACCCCCTGCAGGAAGTGCCTCAAGAGGTCAAGTTGAAGTACTGGCTGCATTGACAGCTCTTTCCAAAATAAATGAGTCAACAGGGGCCCAGGAGCTTTTTCTTTAAAGTTGAGCTGGCTTTGTTTGAAAATACTTTTCCATTTATAAGTGTGCAGGATGTTAGCTGGAGATGCCCTTCTAAAAGCAAGAAAGAGATCAATTTCTTCCCATAAGACAGACATCCTGCTTTCTGGATTTAACCCAAGGCTTCCACCACCTGCAAGACCCGTGGCACAGTCCGTGGTGGAGGGCGCAGCACACTCACCCACTGGCCACAGAGAGCATTGCAGAAGGATTTTATGATTTGCATAAATGTCTTATTTATGCTATACACTCTGATATATAGGGCTTCCATAAGCTACTGAGCATTTACTTCTACATTATCATAAACGTTATTTATAATTAGCAAAGTCATCATAATTGTAAACACTGAATGAGTAGTCACTTTGCTTGCCTTCTTCCAAACACACAGCTCCCAGTGCCTTAGAGCATCCTAAAGAGCTACACCACACCACAGGCTGCTTTCCCCTTAGGTTACATGCTTAGGGCAGCTGGCAAGCTGAATGCCATGAAACATTCCCTGGGGTAAAGGGCCCACCTGCCATGGGCAAAACAGGGTTGATTTTCTGGCATTATCTTCCCTATCCTTCCTTAGGAAAAAAAAAACAAAACTTGCAGCCCTGCTCTCAAGTTTCTTGAGCCTCACTGGACCAGGCAGAAGGAGCAATGAGAGTGAGAGAAGGAGATAGGGCAAAGACAAGTTCAGTAAAAATTATGCTTCAATACGTAAACTGCCAAATGCAAAAATGAAAATAGACACGAGAAAGCTGAATAGTATCCTATAGCCATTTTAAGGTGGATAGAAGCTGGTTGTACATAAACTAAAATTGAAATGTCAATGAAGTAGTCACAGGATGTGGTTAAGAACCTGCAGTTTCTAACATATCAATCACTCAATACCATGTCAATTAACTCCATAATGTTGTAAACTGTTGTTGATGTTATGTTATGGCTTTTAATTGGTCAGGAAGATATTCTGCCAGCTCTGCTTTTAGACCAGAGATGGTCTCCCCAAGAAACTGTTGAATTGATCTGAACAATAAGATGCTGGACTCTATGCATGGTACATGCTTGCAATGAAAGAAGACAGACTGGATTTGAACTGTAATACTGCAACGAGGTGGAGGAATTCACCATGGGGGGGAGGGTACGGGGAGGGGTTGGGGGAACTTCAGAGCCTGTGAAACTGTGCCATAAAATGAACTGTAATAAAGAGAGAGAGAGAGATGTGCTGGTAGGAGAAGCAGCAGAGAACATCGGGGATAATTGAACATCAGTTTTTATTCTGAGACTATGGAAGTCACAGCCCATTAGATGTCAGATTGAGCTAACAGATGCAAAACTCAATCCAAAATAGCAAGAACTTCAGCCTCATTCCCCTGGCTCCTCACCTGACAGGCAGTGACCTCTCAGCTCCCACAAGGCTCCAGGCTCCTCCTTACATCTGGGCTTCCTGGAAGCTGTTCCCTCCACCTGGGCATTCCCCAGCTGGAGCCCTCAAATTCCCAGCTTAGACAAATGCTCCCTAGGGAGGAGTCACCTGAGCAGCCCATGTAGGAAATGTGTGCCAGTGTGGTCCTGCCTCAACCCTAACCTGTCTTTTCATTCTAAAGAAGACCTGCTGGGTCTATCCAAGTGTGCCCTCTCTCCCCTCCAAAATGTCAGTTCGCTTGGAGCAGAGGCCTGGCCTGTCTAATTCCCTGATAAAGTCCTGGTTGAGTGACACTTGGCCATGGGCCATACCCACCTCTGCACATCTTGGGAGGCAGACACCTACAGAGACAGCCTCTATTTCCGGACTGTCTGCTCAAGGCCATCTGGTGGAGAGCCAAGACAGAGTCTGCCTCTCATTCAAAGTCAGGTTAGCCTAAGAAAGGCAATGTCTCCTGGAGCAACAGCAGGTGGCAGACTCATTGCTCACAACTGGTTGTGCTCAAAGTAAACAAATCTGAACAGAAATGAAGGAGAGCAACATTAGAATACACACACACATGCAAACTCCCTGATGAAGGCTGCTTCTTGGACAACTAACTTAAAAGTCTCAGGACCCAAATTACAAATGATCTCAGAAGTCAGACTAAAACAGGGCCATCTGACCCTGCATGTGAATCCCTTCTCCTGGGGGCTTGCATATTTTACAAGGTGTGTTACACTCTCCATCACATATTCTTCACTAAGACAAATGCCACCAATCTCCTCATACCTTTGTTTTGACACACATAATATGTACATGTGAACACATACAATGCACATGTATACACATGTGTATACACACATGCACATATGCAGGCACTTTATTGCACACATGTATTCATATATATATTCACAGTGTGCAGTGCACCCATACACTTGCACACACATGTACGTACATTCACACATCCACTCTGCCACATTACTCACTCTACATGTCCTCCCCAAGGACTGGTGGTCATATCTGTCACAGAGACCCTCATTGCTTTCCATAATTCCCTGGGAAGTGTTCTCTCTTCTCCTTGTGTTGTGGAAGGCAGTGACTTAGAACTCTTAAGTCCAGGGCCCAGTGTGATGTCTCAATGGCTAAATCTTTGCCTTGCATGTACTGAGATCCCATATGGGTGCCAGTTCGTGTCCTTGCTGCCCCACTTCCCATCCAGCTTGTAGCCTGGGAAAGCAAAAGAGGATGAACCAAAGCCTTGGGGTCCAGCACCCCTATTGCTCAGCTCCGGCTGTTGCAGCCACTTAGGGAGTGACCCAGTGGACCGAAGATCTTTCTCTCTGTATCTCCTTCTCCCTGTAAACCTGTTTTTCCAATAGAAATAAATAAATCTTTTTTTAAAAAAAAAGGAACCCTAAGTCTATTCTCCGCTCCATTTACCCATTCAAGCCACACTGGCCAGCCTTGCCAAGACAAGTTCTATGTGTCTTTACATGTTTGATTTCCCTTCTGCAAATTTCACACTCTGATTCCAAGGCATGCATTCGATTCCAGCTCAATTGCTATATTTTTAGATCCTCTGTCATGCTTCTCACTCTTACTTTGCCACAAAAACACAATAGCTAAATTAGCTTCTCTCTGTTGATCTTTTTGAGATCCTATCTTGTTGTGTGCAGGTCTGGCTCTCTCACTAGTTTATTACCTACTCGACTCATGGTCTTATTAATCTTTGTAATCACCTTGAGCTCTAACCAGTACCATGCACACAGCTGGCATTCAATAGATATCTGTCAAATTGAATGTAATTTAAAGTGGGTCATTAATTCAGCTCTATTCACTGAGGGTGGGAGTCACATTCCCCTAGATTAGCTGAGAGCATTTGCACACTGAGTTGATACAAATGGAAGACAATAAAATAAATAATAATTTTACATGTTTAGACCAAAAAAATGGACTTTGTTAGGAAAGTAAAAATAAGTGTTTTTCTTCTACTGTTAAGTATTTTCCTAACTTTCATAAATTTATCAGTGCCCCTTTTGTAATAAAAATAACTTTTGAACAAGCAAATCAGAAAGTAGAAGTCATATGTTCATTGAGGGCGTAACATGCTCTGGATTAAGGCAGACACACATGTTTCTTCAGCACAAAACCATCATGCAGCACTGGATTCTGCAGAGTACCCTGCTAAAAAGAAAAACACAGGCTTGCATCTAGCTCCCTAACACAGAGCAGACAGGCATCAACAAGTCAGCCAGCCTTCGTGCACTGCTGGCAGCTCCCTGGCCTCCATCTGCTCCTTAAGATTTAGTCCCAGTTCCAAACATGTGGACGAGTATCTCCTGTTATCTAGTTGAAATGTCAAAAGGGCCTTAATTTAATTATTTGAAATCTCCAAGCTAAGCTTCTAGAAATAATTCTATCTTAATCTTGGTATACTTTAGCTTCCCTAGCAGAGTCTAGAGTTATCTTTAAATTAAAATGAGATCTTAACTCTTCAATTGGGCATAAGACCCTGCACCTGACCCCATCTCCCTTCTCTGCTCC